GTCCCTCAATTGTCCTCAGAGTGCAAAGATGGATCTCAAAATCATACAGCCACAGCTGGAAATCAAATATGCAGAAGATGCTGGAAAACCAAAGAATGTGCAGGAGCTGGAGGATTCTTTTCTGAAGAACAGTTTCTGAAGTGGGAAGTGAAGTGGGAAACTGCTCAGGACAAACAAGGGACTCATGAACAACTATAACAAAACATGAAAACAGTCATGAATCATCCAGGTAACAGAACAGAGTATTAAGAATCAGGGTCTTTTTTAATTTTTTTTTAATAAAAATCAGTGATTATTTTGTTTTGTGGACTATATGTAAACATCTGTTATGTGAAGTAGCTTATTCATGACCCTTTTTATTTTGTTAAAATTATTAACATTTTCATAGATTCTGCATGAAAATTCTGCAGAAATGTATGTTAAACTAGAGCAATCCGGGAAAATAAAATATTATTGTCAGACTTTGTTCCGTGTTTTGTGTGTGTCTTGCTCCCCATGTACCTTCCTATGCCCATATTTGGTTAGTTTCCTGTTCCTGTCCTGATTATGTTGATTTGATTCCAGGTGTTCCCCGTTTTATTTCCATTGATCCCAGGTGTGTCTTGTCCTCTCCTCATCCTGTCATGTGTTTAAACAGTGTTCCCTGACTTTAGTTCAGCGTCCGGTATTGTACATGTCTACCCGTGTCACGTGTGTTTTCCTTGTTCCCTGGATGGCATTAAAGCTTGTTGGTTTGAATTCTACTCCTCGTCTCTTTGCTCCTTCGTCTCCGTGCTTCACACAGTAGCACAACGTGACAGAATACCGGACCAACAAAGAAGTAAGCGGCGTCATTCCCCCGTGTTTGTTTTCCACCTTTTGTGAAAGTTTTTGTTTCCCTGGTGTTAGAAAACACTCTGTCTTGAGATTTGTTCTAGATGTTTTCACCCCTCCTTTTCTTTTTTCCTCTCTCTCACTCTGTACAGCTCTGTTTTCTCTCTGAATCCTCCTCTATCTGTTCTCGATCTGCTCTCTCTCTCTTGTATGATGTTTTAATGTCCCTTACTCATATTCGAGGTACACATGCGCACATGTATGCATTAGCTTTTCTTGGTTCAAATAAGGAGATGAATGCTAGGACTCCAAGGTAAAGGAGTTCGTGATGAACTACGAAGCGAGTTCAGCATCCTTCGCCAAAGTCTATTCCTAATATGTCCATGTTTTTCTGTACATGTGGCTATTTTATATAAACGCATGTTCTTGGCCAAAGATCCTAAATGTATGTCATCTATATCCTCATTGGTTAGGGTTGAAACTCCCCTCGACATATGCCTATATAATATCTTTGTTTCTATGAATAAATTGAAGTATTGAGAATACATTGAATGTGTGTTTTCTTGCTTCCCGGCCGTTATACACTTTGAGGGACTGAGAATTTTTCCAGGCGGCAAAGAGATATCGAGGGACCAATTGTTATTTTACTAACAAATGGTGGCTCATCCTTCCGGGAATTTCTTAAAAAGACAGGTAAGAAACAGTTTTATTTTTCTTCCTGTCTGTAAGAGAAATTGAATTTATTCTCGTTTGCAATTTGATTGATGCCAAATATGACAATCTGTTTTCCTCACATTTTAGATGTGGGAAGAAGAGTGAGAGGTTAAACGGAAAGCTTATCTATTTAAGAAAATAGAGTAGTGGTGAAAGATTATAATTGCTCACTCTTGCCGTGAAGGTTCTCGGTCTCTTAAGTGATTTCATGAATTACAGAATTGAAAGCTTTCTTTTGGCCAAAATATCAAAAAGTTAATATAAGACCGCGGTCTCTATTTTGTGTTTTGTTTGGCCATTCTATAAATTGTGAAAAGTGCACTAAAATTGAC